ACCCCAAAACCCCAAAACCCCAAAACCCCCTAGGTAAATATTGTAAGGATTTAGGGTCTTAAGATAAATTCTTTATATAAGAAAGTTTGACTGCAATATATTTTTATAAGATCATATAATAATGGAAAACTATTACTTTCAAAGCTTCAAAGAGAACACAAGATTCGGGACCATTAAAGTAAAATAAGGGATTATCAAATACTTCCCGAATACTTTGCAAATCGAGGATAACTTTATGGTTACTAGTAACGTAGACATTCAGAAATGCTTCTTGCTTGTTAAAAAGAATCTCAAAGTGTTCAGAGTTAAGGACACTTGCGCTGTATAGATTTTAAATGGTTCTAAGAAGTATGTCTTCGCCTATCTCCTCTATCAAAATAAACTATTAATGAAAAAGAAAAAGAAAAATGGCTGCAAATGTATTGAATTGAAAGTTCAAGCAAAACCTCAGATTATATAGCTGAATGAAATTTTCTATTTATTCTGGTTCAAAAATCTTGCTCAAATTTAGATATTCAACTGCAAGACGATGGTTATCGAGCAAAATATATTCTTGGCGAGAAAAGAAAACTGGATGTAAGTTCAAAAAATTCAAAAGAAGTCTGAATTTGTATACGAGATAGCGTTCAGAAATATCAAGTCTCTCAACTTCTATGAAATAGATCTCCTAAGTTATCCATTTTCATTCTAACTCAAAGAATCAGTTTAGATAATGAAAGACAATAATAGGCTCACACATTTATCACTAATTAACAAAAATCATATCTGCAACATTTTGAATGACTACAATTGCAATAACCATCTAGATGTGCAGATAATTAGCAGATCGAATCTCTAGCTTCATCAGGAAGTATAGTAGCAACTAGAACACAAAATATTAATATCCAGTGAAGATAAAATATAGTTGCTCAATCAGAAATATGTAAAGATGGGTGATTAACCAATTCTTATAAAACTAACTCAAAATAAAATTGGAATATTAACAAATATAAAAGAGTAAAAATTCGACTTCGACCTATTTAAGAAACTTAATTCAATCAACGATATTATAAGTCATAGCAAAAATAGTGGAATCTGCTCGCAGGAATACGGCAGCAACTATTTGATTTATATCATTAGAAAACTGGATGATGGCAGATGCAATATCTGGTTTGTGAAAATACCGAGGAAAGTAATTCAAAATATTTAGAAAGAAATGAATTAACCAAGAAATTTAGATGCTCTTGATTGAAATTTAATTGAATAGGATTGAATATATATAATTTTAAAGTTTACACAAATCATATATGAGATAACTATATTACACGTAATATTTTATCTGTCAAAAAAGTTATTAACTTCAATTCACATAAATTTAAGAATTTCAACTTTAGTGATCAAAGGGGTTTTGGGGTTTTGGGGTTTTGGGGTTTTGGGG